AATGATTTAAATGATATCTTTTGTAATCTAGAACCGTAGTTAGAATTACAATTGCTTGTAGAATAAGTTAAGAGAGATCTAATTTATTCTATGACACCTTCACACACTTAATCGCTCGCTAAGAGATTAGTAGCGATTAAGGGGCCGTAAGTTCGCTCGTCTTGGCAATAATTTAGGATCCTGTCGAATGAGAGATCAGTCTGGTCCCCTAAATTATTGTACTCTACGCCGCGAGAGCGGTTAGAATCTAGTATTGATTAGCGAGGCTCAATTAAATTAATTTCATGTGATTAAGCCTGATCAGCCAGAAATCTGATTACCCTGGAATCAATCCCTGTTCCCTTCGTCGTTAATTAGAAAAAACCCATTTATTTTATTCGTTCAATTCCAATTTAATTTTCCAAACCAAACCATTCTCGCACAAATTATTTTATTTATTTATTTTTCTTAGTTAGTTTTTAATCGCAGAATTTAATTAATTCTTGATTCCCTTTTGTCCATCCCTGTGGAGACGATACTCGTACTTACATCACTATATTACAATCTTTTTAAGTGCGAGAAAACTCACACTAAAAATACTAATAGTCTAATTTGATTTAATCACATAAAAATCCTAGCCTCATACTCCCACAAATCCACAACCATTCATTATTTTAGAATAATCTATCCGCCGATTTCATCTTCAAATGACGAGATGTCTAAAATAACACAAAAACACTAAACAAACGACACATCGATCAAATAATTCATGGAAGAAATCGCATCATCAAAGAAAACAAAAATATGTAGCAATCATCTGACTTATTTCGATAATGAAATTGATCGCTTGAGGAAGGAGACATATTCCATTTGCCTAGATCCAAAAAATCATGCTTGTAAATGAAGGGATAATTAACTTTTTTCTTTTGATGAGAAATTACCGCAAAGTAATCATAAGATCCACTTATATTCCTATTTTGTTTTTTACATGTTTAAAGAATTTGTCATATTCAATTTATTACTTATTTGAAATAAAAATTGCAATTACGTAACAATTTAGTTTTGATATGATCCCTACTTTTCATAATAAATTTGTCCATCTCCTTTCAATACAGAAATTAATAGAATAAAGGTGCGTAAAATAAATAAGCAGGAAAAAAAATTATGTACATAATTCTATCTATGGCTGGTTTTGAACAAAATCTTTAAAATTATTACTACGCAGTATTGTATAGTAGTATGAGTATTTATTTGAAACGGTTCGATAAAATACATCGAGTAGGGAAGCATATATACAATCATCTTTTTAGTCATTTGTATTCAAACTGCTTGAGTAATGAGCTGCATTGTTTTAATTCAAGTACCAAGTATTAAGTAACTTTTAGTAACTTTTTACTTTCATCGTTTAACTTAGTATTCAAATGATTTGAGTATAAGTATATGTGTATATTGAGATAGTTTTAGTTTTTATATTAATGTGGAGGGTTCATTTTTATCATTGTAAATGACAATACTCTATTGTCTACTATTTCAAAGGAAAGTTATAAAATTTATATAATTTTGGGACATAGAATATAAGAATTTTCCTAATCTAGGGCGCAATTATATGTTAACTACTCCCTCCGTCCCTAAATAAAAGCATCTATTTCCTTTTCGGGCCGTCCCTAAATAAAAGTTCCCTTTCTTTTTTTTGCAAACAAAACAGTGCAAAACAGTGTCAAACAGTGTCCAAACAGTGTCAAACAGTACCAACCAAACCCACTTTCTTAAGATGTGTGTAAAATGAATGGATACTTTTATATAGGGACGGAGGGAGTATCAATTAAGGACTTGAAAACTAAGGATAAAAAATTTGATTTAAAAATTAAGACCCCGATCGACTTTTTAAAAGTACTCAATTAGGCCATGATGAATTATTAAAAGTATCGCTTAAGACTTGCAATATTATTCAAGATCCCAATTGATATCTTTATTTGAGAATATTTATATGTTTTTCAATCATTCGGACTTCGATCTATAATTTCTAGCGCTCACGTCATAGTATACCATTTGTTTGGGTCCTGTAGGATTGTAGGAAATATGACAGCAAAGATATTAAAACTTGGATCGGTTGAAATACGTACGAGTAATAAATTCAGACAACTTTTTCTTAACTGTATGTGAGACTTCATAAATTAGGTAACATGCATCCCAAGTTTAACTTTTGATATACGCACAAAATCTTGATCAAATTGTGAGTTATCAGATAAAATAATTGAAATCCATGTGTTATTTTTAATTTCGTGAGATATATGGTTAGACGTACACTCATGCAAATTTACACGGTCGTGAAACTGGTTTTTATATCAGTGATTTAACCATCTTAAGACGTACTTTTTCTTAAGAGAGAATTCCCTAAATAAGAGTAAAAAAGTTTTTAAATTCCAAAATAAGAGTATCATGTTTTTTATTCCTTGAATAGGAGTAAATTTCTGCCAAGTTTGACATTACTAGGCTTTAAAACATGGCATTTTTTCCCAAACTTGGCAGATTACTCCTATTCAGGGAATAAAAAACATGATACTCCTATTTTGGAATTTCAAAACGTTCTTGCTCCTATTTAGAGCAATTTCTATTTTCTTAACTGTATGCAATCTTGATCAAATTGTGAGTTATCCATGGTTTTTATATTCTCTCAAAGTCTCAAGTGATTTATCGGATTGAGAAGTCAGGGAGTTTAGGGTTGGGGATTCAACCTTTTTTAACATGGATGTTCACTCCTCATCTACCGTCTCATATACTAGCTGGTACTATTCTCCGTTCCATTTTAATCGCAACATGTTGAATTTTACACTATTCACATGTTCTACTTTGACTACATTTTACGCTATTATTTTATGATTTTTTTTTTGAAAAAAAATATTGTTCAATTCATCTCATTACAAATATTAAAAAATCTGATTTTTAATATTTTTATTTACTAATATAATTAAGATATAATTACGGTCAAAGACGTGTGTTGGCAAATGTGAAATGTTGACCGTTGCAACTCAAATTGTTACACTTCAATCTCAAATTCTATTTAGATTATTGAACGGACAACTTTTGAGTGAATTGCACCGCAAATAATGGGTTTATTTAGTGATTTTTTTAATAATATTGAATTTATTGCAGTCGCTCGATCAGTCCAAACAAGGAAAGAAGTATTCCACACTATTGTAGTCGTCAAAACATACCTCAAATCATCTTTCTCCGACATCATCTGTCAACAACTGCGACGAGTTTTCTAATTATTTAATCAAACCCTATTAATTGCGGACTCTATTATTATTAGCAACAAACACACATTGGACGTACCGTGCTGCCCGTGCATGCACCCATATTTGTGTTTTTGTCCTTTTCTCTCTTCTTATTAATTTCAATTTCAATTTAAGATTTATTTCTTTTGAACCTTTATTAGTTGAGTTGAAATAACTTCTACAATAGGAAATTTAAAATATATTTAAAATATGAAATAGAAGTATATGCCTAAATAGGAGTAATAATTTATGATTGTACAAAAATGCGCACGTACAGGGGCGGAACCAGGGTACTGGGGCGGTACAAAGAATATTTTTGTTTAAATTTTTTACACTAAAAATTTTGTTTAAATTTTTTACATTAAAAAAAAGTCATTTTATAAATTTGGGGTGGGCTAAGACCTAGGTTGGCCACCCCCATCTTCGCCCATGCACGTAAAGTATGAAACTACTATCAATTGTCACTAGACGGTCGTCACTGCCAACATTTAGGGCTGGGGGGTATCGAAATTTCGTATACCTTATTTATCATATCGATCGAAAAATACCAGATTTATCAAAGATTTAGATATACCGACATTTTCGGTATGGTATGATATCGTGCCGAATTACTTTGGTATGGTATCGGTATGTGTTTTGAAAGTAAAAGGTACATGTACCGCTATACTAGTATATCGAGAGCCTATTGAAATATCTTTTTAAAATTATAAAAAATGGCTAAAGACACAACATCATATTAGGGATAAATTATTTTATTAATCATGTTGTTTGAATAATTTTATTTTTTGTTAGAGATATGATCACTATTGATTTACTTATATCTATGTTGTTTAAGTTATTTTAAGAGAATGTGTTGTTATATCTATGTTGTTTAAGTTATTTTAAGAGAATGTGTTGTTATTTTTTACTCCGTAATATATGGCATGTTGAACTGGTTAAATATACTAATAATAATTACGGAGTATTATTCAATATTGAATATCACATCAATTGATAATTATTTGTAATTTATAACATTTTAATAATGAATTAAATATGTCGCTAGTAACACTTATTTTGTATATTTCGTTAGTCTATGATAATTTGTTCTATTGAGAGACATGCATGTTAATTTACCGATACCGTACCGTTATCGAATCGAAACTTCGGTATACCAAAATTTCGGTAAGATAACGGTATACAAATTTTGTATGCCGAAAGTTTTTGTATACCGTACCGAACCACCCCTACCAATGTTGCCGCTAACCCCCTACTTATAGCCACCGCCTTAAAAATAACTCTGAACTCTAACCATAAAACTAACTGCTAATATGAGCCTGTTTGTTAAGGCCGAAATTTGCTTAATTGACCTATTCTGTTGAAATTTATGAGATTCTGACTGAAAAGGTCAAATTCCTGAATTAGCTAACTTTACTGATTTATGGAAAAAAAGTTAAAAATATGCGTAGTATTATATTAATAAAATAAAAAATATATGCAAAATAGCTAAAATGATCATCTACTGTATATAACTTGAGCCAATTCAGTCAAAAAGCTTCCCCGACCTTAGATATTTTGATTAATTATTACACAATTCGGGTGTGCAAAATCAAAAGTTACGTGTTTATGAAAAGATTGATTGATAAGACTTATAAGCTGAAAAATAAGATCTCCAAACGAGCTCTATATTTTTTGTACACACAATATGTTACTCCTGTATATAATCATATTTAGGGGAATTAAATCACGAAATCCTATATTTCAGTGAAATCCCATTTCTTGTCTATACGCAATTTCTGTTATTAATTGAGAACATGGATCCTCAATTAACCAAGTAACTAACCATCCTTTTCCATCATTATAAATCTCTTCAACCTTTCTCAATCTCCATAGATACTCAGCGCACCACTTAAGCTTGTCCATTATCAGAACTCACTTTCACGGTTTGAATCGGTGTCTACTATCTTAGATCATGGCAACAAGAACCGGCCGGAAAACCGACCGTGAAAGCCGCCCACGGCTGCTGAAGGATTTCCTCATAGAGGATCACCACTCCCATTCGAAGCCACTGCCGCCATGCAAACGTCCGACGGAGGTGCCTCAGGCGGCAACCACCGCCATCTCTGCCATTCACAAGGTGATGATCAAAATGGTTAGGCTCCTCCCCTTCGCTCCGATCAAATCTCCGGCGGCCGGGTCGAGAGGAAGCAGGGTTGACCTCCGCGGAGAGGGTCCCACCACCATGGTCAGAGTCAAAGACATTTTGCGGTGGGGTCTCGTGGAGGAGAACGACGAGGACTTCACGGCGCCGTCAGAGAACAACGACGGCCATCTCTATTACGACTCGCCGAATAGGTGCACGTGCACCACCGTGAGCACAACCGCCGCCGGCAGCAAGAGATCCAGCTGGTGCGACAGCGACTTTACGGCCGAGGATATACCCTCGTGTTTCGGGGACATCTCTGTTGTCGGCGACGAAAAGACTGAGAAGGTGGGGAAGGAGAATCTTCGTCCACCTGATGAAAGTGTCGGTGGGGGCGGTGGACATTTCATCACGGAGGAAAATAAAATGGCCCCACAGGTATCTATTCTTTATTTATTTTATTTAATATTTATCCCCTTTCAATTATTGTTACGTTCTTCAGACTTCAGTCAGACATACACTCGTGTTACGCTTCGATACAAAGCAAGAAGATATCTGTCTTACGAGCAAGACATTAATATTACGGTATACATACATCTGGGGGCAGTTGCCCCCAATAACCTCTCAATAAATTAGTACACCCATTACAAAAAATTAATAATAGGATGTTTTGTCCCCAATAAAAATATGCCATTGCCCCCAATAAAAATATGTCATTGCTTCCAATAAAAAGCAAAATTGATCAGCCCACATAATCACATAGCACATCAACATACTCCGTATTAATGTTTTATCATCATTTTCTTTAATTGTAAACTTTAACTTGATACACATGGAATAAAACGTACTTCATCTATTTCTAAATAAACCACTAGTTTATCCACCTAAATTATCTCACATTTTTTACTAAGAAATAGTATGTGATTAAAAAGTTTGATATGATTATGACTAAAATTAATTCATTTATCACCATGATCAATAATAATTTACATCAAAATCTAAAAATATTTTATTTATTCATTAAAAAATTTAATATGATCGAGTATATAGATAGTATGTCATAATTTCGTCTCTATAATGTTATCTTTAAACATCAAACACTTAGAAATGAGGTGGTTTATCCTAACCCCTAATAATTCAATATCGTCATTAACAAAATTGTATAATTGTATATTGGTTTTTAGTTCAATATAACTTCTATTTCTACTTGTATTTCATTAACAAATTCATTAGTCTAATTTCTTTTACCATTTCTTATATGATTTCCTAATAACCAAATATGAACTCTTTTCGTCGTTGAAATTTAATTGTAATATTCTGCTGAAAAACTCTATTAAAGTCTGCACTCTTATTAATTTACTTTAGGTGAAATTAGCAAAAAAATAATTTGCACATCATTAACATATAAATAAGAAAATGAAAAGCGATAACATACGAAAAATAAATATATATGAAGATATCATCAAATATTTAATACTCCCTCTGTCCCGCTATGATTATCTCATTTTACCTTTTCGTTCTGTCCCACTAAGATTGTCACATACCTTATTTGGTAAAATTTGTGTGATTCTAAATCATTCTTACTTTATTCTTACTTATCAATACAATATAAACCACATAAACTCACTTTTATTAATAATTGTGTCACCTTCTCTTGTCCCAAATTTAGGGGGGCGGAGGTAGTACTTATTAGGAGTACTTTAAAGTTAAAACCACCCTTTACCAACAGAAAGATAGCCTCTTATAATCATTTTTGATTATTTGTTCCTGAAGAAATGTGTGTAATGGTACTCTTTAGTACACATTCAAAATATATACTCTATACACATTTGTTTATAAATCAAACCAAAATCTTGCCCCCAATAACCTTTCGGGCTGGATCCGTCACTGGAATCTCCCACCCCAGGAGCACCCAACCCGACACGACAGGATGGTGGAGAAGTTAGTCACGGTGACTCAGTGAGCAGAATCGCAATAGGCTCATACACCCGTGCGCACCAGAGGCCTAACCTTATTTCAGGTTCATTGACCTCCACCCGGTCGCTGCGAGGATTCGAACATTGGTCCGTTGATCCAAATCTCCCATCACTCGACCAACTGAGTTACCCGTGCGGGTTGGATTGGGATAAATACAAAAATGTACTTATGGTCGTGTACATTTTTTTTCAAATAGGAGTAGAAGATTTATTTTTTACAAAGTGAAGTATGTGCTTTCAATTTGAGTGTTCCTATCTAAACTTTGATTAAATAGTACCGAGTACTACACAGTAGATCATAAATTTCGCTTAGGTGTGAAAGACAATCTAGATACTCCGTTCTCTAATACTTGGCCCTCTTTCCAATTTTGGGATGTTCTCTATTTGTTGTCTTCCTTTCCATTTTTGGTAAGTTTTTTCAATAAATATACTCATTTACCCTCATTCTTTTTCCTACTTTTTCATTCTCTTTTCTACTTTTACCTTTACACGCAACCTTATACACCTTTTATCATACTCCTATTAATTCTTTCTTGAATCTTTTGTCAAAGGCTATACTCCCATCTATTAGAGAACGGAGTCAAGTTTATCGTTATCCAAAGTAGGCCGGTAAAAGTCCAATAGGAAAATCCTTTGTGGAACAAAAATAAAATCGTCAACGTTAAACATATTGTACATAATAAATACGTTTCGTGATATGTATATCAGGTACTTCGTATATGATACTACCTTTGTCTATCAGGTACTTCGTATATGATACTACCTTTGTCCACTCAAGGCCGTTTTTTAGGGTGTTTAATAAGTTATCCAGAATAGGGCCCCTGAATTTATGGGACCCCAAAATTTTAGAAACTTATTAATATTATCTATTAATACTAATCAGTAAAATATAGTTACCTAGTAAGGAAGAAAAATAGAGACTCGTCATTTTTTTCGTTGGTCATTTTATTCTTTTAGTTCTCTTTTAATCAGTAATCAATTGATTTGAGTTTAAGTATTTAGATTGAGATTTTTTTTAATATTTTATAGAAATGTGGTGCCCCGATTTTACATTTTGAACCGGGGCCTTCAAATTCATTAGACGGCCCCGTGTCCACTAAGATTGAGACGAGGGAAGGTGGCACAATTATTAAGAAATGTTAGTTTGGGTGGTCGATATTAAATTGATAAAGTAATAATAAAGTAAGAATGAGTTAGACTCACACAATCTTTACCAAATTTGGTATGAGACAAATCTTAGTGGAACTTCTCGAAAAGATAAAATGAGTCAATCTTAGCGGGACGGAGGGAGTAGTAATTAAATTTACAAGTTTATACTCTCTCCTTTTGACACATTTTCCTTTTTTGGATGTTTCGAAATGCCTGTCACATTTCTTCTTTTCCTTATTCGGTAAACAAATATATATATCAAAACATTGTCAAACAATAAAATTTACCCATCAGTAAAAAACATTCTTTAATCTTTGTGAAGTCAAAGCTAGTGTTTCAAACAAATTGAAATGGAGGGAGTACTAAATTAAATACTAAATCAACAAGTACAATTAGAAAAACCAAACACAATCACACATTTCCACTTTATTATCACTTCCTTAAACTCCGATCTAAGATAATGCGGAACTATTTCATGGGACGGAGGGAGTACTCCGTATAATATTAATAATATCATAATCTCATGCGTTGAAATTTACGGTGTCTAATAAAGATCAGTACAAGATTAGTATTTCTTTTGGTATTATTAGTACTGTCAAAATAGCAATTTACTCGGTCAACTCCCGTCACATACCCACATTAAAAAAAACATGTCACATAATATCAATCAAGTGATAAAAGTCACATTAATCTTTCAAACAATAAAAAAAATTAAATGGATGTCGGAAAATTAACGAGTTTGTCTCCGAAGGACTATGGTTTTGTCCTCTATCGTGTAGTAATTTTCTTACGGTACAAACAATTAAATAAGAATATATATACTCTAATAATTTAACATGTCACGTTTAATCTTCATTGCGCTGTGTTTCAGAAGTTAAGACCGTCGATCACTTATAATATCGTGTGATCATACTCATGATTATGTAATAATAACTAATAAGGCAATATATGCCTTTGTTTAATTGAATTAATTAAAGTCTCCCATTTTGTACGTATTCGAAGAATATTACGGAGTATGAATTAATTAATAAAGTCATGACAACCACCGAAATTATATGGAGTATATAATTTTCTTTTTCCCATACCAACACGCTTATATATTTTATTAAAACTTTAGGGGAAGTCGGCCCTAGCTAGCTTCTTCAAAAAAATCGCATCATACCATAATTAATTCATCGTGTGATTAATTAATTATTAGAGATTGTTTACTTTGGAGTTAATAGATTTAATCAAAACGATCACTTAATTGTTCAATCATTAAATCTTATTTATTACTCGTACTTGATTAAAACCGTGACTTAATTATCCAGTCAAAAAATTAACTTATCATTAAGCTAGAAGATAATAGTCCATTCCATTATGATGTATATTAAGTTGTTTTTGCTGTCAATTTTTTAAAATCGATTGTGGAATAGATTTATGATAATAAGTGATCTTTCACGTTAGCTTTATAATCCAACAATAATACTAAGGTAATTACTTTTTTCAATTACTCTTGAACTACACCTTACTCTTGAACTCATATCCAGAGTTTCGGGTTTAGACTAACAGATAAAGTGAGCTCTTACATTAAAATTACGCGGTATATATGAAGTGCTGTTTTTAATATTCTTGAAGTTCTACTATATCATAAACAATAATTGTAGAAATTATTAGGCGTATATTCCTAATATTTTGTGAGGCTTTGAGGAATATTAATGATAGTACTCCAGTTATATTCTCACATATTCCTGAAATTATTGTCATGAAATATATATGGAGCACTTTGTAAAATTATACTACGTAGTAAATAATCTCGACATCACGGAAGTTAACACTGTTAAGTGACAGTTCATTTTGTGTAGGGGTGGACTCGGGCCGGGCCAACCGGCCCGGAACTGGACCGGCCCGGTGAACCGGTTCCGGGCCCGGTTCGGGCCAACCGACCCGGTGGGATGGTGGTTCGGGCTCGGGCCCTTCAAAAGGTGAACCGGCCCGGCCGGTTCGGGCTCGGGCCGGGCCAATTTTTTTTTTTAAGTTTTTGGATTGGGTTGGGTATTTTGGACCATTTGAGGTGGTTAGGGTTGGTTTGGGGGTGAGGGGGAGGGTTGGGGGTTAACTAGGAAAAGCCAAAAAAAAAAATAGAACCGAGGTCCGACCCGGACCCGGGGGTTACCTGGGCCGGTTCCGGGCCTCCCCTTCTTGAACCGAGGCCCGGCCGGGCCCTGGCCCGAACCGGAACCGGTCCATGCCTAATTTTGTGAAACGGTTAACAAGTATGAATTATTATCGTGAATTCTTCCGGTGAAAATTATTTTTCTTTAATGTGTACAATTAGTGATTATTGATGTCGATAAATAATTACATTTGGTTTATATGTGTGATAATCCGCACGCAGGTAGAGTTGGGAGCTATTGAGAAGGAGCAGCACAGCCCAGTATCAGTATTGGAGTCACCCTTCAGAGAATTAGATGAAAGTTTCAATTCCCATCGAATCCTTACTGCGGGTGATGAAAGTATTTTTTTTATATTACGGTGTACTTCATTTCAATGTACAAAGCCACTATGATTATAACTTTTTTAAATCTTTCAAGTATCTTTTATCATTTAACTTACAAAGACATCATTATTCTTTCACACAAAAAAGATAGATATTTCATTCAGGTTTTCATGTTTTTAGCATTTTGATAATTAATACAAAAGTCATGCTTTACACCAACTAAATCAAACTAAAATTATGTTTTATATATAGGTGGTTACAGTACTAGAAGTTATTCCAACGAGGAGGATTCATTTGATGAGTGGGAAGTGGAAGAGAAGAGGCAAGCTTATTTTAGAGATATGGAGATCATGGCAGCTGCTGCTGTTGAGGAAATAATCACAAGCCGTTGGCCGTACAAGTTTGAAGAAGAAAGGGACGAGTTGTACCTCTTGTTGGAGCACCAAGTCTTCAATGACTTATTAGTTGAAGAAGTTTTGGTTGACCTTTTCATCATGCATTAATTATTTCAAGATATGGTGGACAAAAAGCTGTTCTGGATTGGTCAGCTCCAGGTAGAGGAGGAAACTTGAAGACAAATCAGTTCCAGTTTCTGGAGGAACTGAAATCACAACCAGTGTGACCGGTTCGGGTTCTAAACTGAAAATTTTAATTTGCTTGATTCAGTCCTTTCCTGAACGAGGTCCGACCTTATTTCAAGATTATATACTCTGTATATTATACTCACTTATAGGTCTGTGCCGATTAAAGTTGTAGATAAAACTCTATATACATATGAAAATCTGTATCCTTGCATGAATAAATAAGTGGCACAATGAGGGGAGGAGCTAATGACAATTTCATTAGTGTAGTTATCGGTACTGTATACAGTTGAGATGATGTATGTAAACAAGTTGTATATTCATACATAACACTCCCGAGTATACAGTACCGCACAAATGCAATTTTTGTCAAGTGTCAACCCCGGGTACAATACTTTTACAATTACAGAAAAATCTTTGAACTTTATGTGAAGAAAGAAAAAAACTGGAGGGATCATATGGTGAGATTTTCCTGGATGGCTAGAAAAGATCCAACAATACTACCTCCCACGTCTGGGAAGTTTTCACATCCAGGGAGAGGTTTAACTCTACCTTTGCGATCTACTTCAACGGGGTATTTCAGTAGGTGGGCTCTCATTTCTGAGATCTCGTCCGCTGCATATTGCTTCCAATTTGCGTCTCCCATCGATCTCACTCTGCGCACACATTCTAGAGACTCTGGTTGTGTGAAACAGTCTTCTACAACTCCAAGATGCTCAGCCCATAGAGACATCCTATATCCATATATCTGTACAAGGTGCATTTTTTAAACAATTTGCTATAACATCTTAGGAAAAGTGAAGCACTGAAGCCTAGTCTAGCGAAACCAATGTTCTGCTAAGAGCAATGTGGGTGAAAAGGCAGAGAGTTGAGTACCTGCCCATTTAGCAAAACTCCTAACACGGACATGACTTCTTATAATAGTAGAGTATAAGACTACTCTATCCCACAACAGACCAATTCTACATTTCTACCTGAATCTCCACCAATCCATTTAGCACTACCCTTAGATACACTAATCTGGAATTAATTCCACTTTTGGTCCTACGAGTTTTGTGTCAATTCCACCTTTAGTCCACGTCTGTCACTTTGTCCACTTTTGGTACTTGACTAATGTTTTTTAACCGTCGTTTGTGGTCCTTTTCCGGCGATTTTAACCATTGGACAATGCCGGAAGGACCATATATGGGCGAAAACACAATAGTAATGTATCAAAAGTGGACAAAGTGAAAGATGTGGACTAAATGTGGAATTGACCTAAAACTCGTAGGACCAAAAGTAGAATTTATTCCACTAATCTGATCCAAAACCCATATATAAATTCAGAAAATAAAATTCAGAAAACATATGTATATGTATATGTACAGAACTCTTCCTGTCCGGCCAGGCCGGACAGAACCCTGGTCCGGCCAACTCTATTTGAGGTGGTTCCCGGTGGTATTTTTGGCTCAAATTTTTTGTGTATGTTCCTCATCAAGTCTAGTTCATCCATACCAAATTTCAGAAAAAAATTCAATCGGGAAGGTTGTCAAATGATTTTTGCATGATAACTGCTCCGAAATATACATATAAAACGCAAAAAAATTGAGCCAAAAATACCACCGGGAACCACCTCAAATTGAGGTGGCCGGACGAGGGTCCTGTTCGGCCTGGCCGGACAGGAATTATTGTGTGTGTGTATATGTATATGTACATATACATATATTGAATAATTAGATACTGATCTATATTAATAGTTATTCATAAATGCATATGAATATATATATATATATATATATATATATATATATATATATATATATATATATACATTATCATGTTTATTAGTATATACGCACAAAATTTATAGAATACTCACTCCTTCCTAGAAATTTCTTCCCGTTCTCCTTTTGGAACTGCCCTATATTTTCCATTCCATTTCCGGTTAAGGAAAGAAGTGTGGATAGTATTGTTGTCCTCTTTTCTAAATAAAACTCAACCTCACAATTTCATTTTCTTAATTAGTGTGAAAGTCTCCAAGAGAAGAAAACTTTAGGACGAGGGGATTATATAAAATGTCCCCCCCCCCCCCGAGCCTGGCGTAGGATTTTCTCTGCCACTTGACCCAAATCGTTAAGGTTGGGTTTATGCAGGTCCAGTGCCGGCATTAATTCATCTGTTGAGTGTTGACATCCCCATAATGGCGCTCAGGCAGGACATAGGCAAGGTCAATTTGGGAAAAAACAAATGCAGGCGTTTAACAGGTCCAGGTGAGGATTTTTTTTGCAGAAATAGTAGTATGTACTAATCAAGATATTTAAACAGCGATTGGTCTTAGTAGTAAGTAGTACCTGTCCATGGGGATTTGAGTGTTTTCTAGCCCATGTGTGATGAGGTTGGTAAGCTCCCATTGCAATCTCCGTATCTCTCGTCCCTTCCAGAGAACGCTGATTGATGTTAGCAGACCCCAATATCACGTACTCATCATCTACTATCATCCCTTTAGAATGCACATAGATCATGAATCTTCTGTGTTTCCTACTCAGTGCCTGAAATTAAGAGGTGTTCAAAGAACGAACCTTGTCAATAAGCGGAAACAATATCACCAACTAATGCGAAGATTTGAAATTTTGATTAGAATGAAGAAAAAATTCCATTTTTGGTCTTATGACTATTAGGCCATTCTTACTTTTGCTCATTAGGGGCTTTTTCCTTTTTCATTTTGGTCCATGATTATGAATTTCTTACCAATTTTGGTCCTTCCAAGTTCCAACCACTTATCCTCCCAACTTACATACTACTTTTGCCCGATAGGTGATTGGAAACTACATCATCATCATCAACATCATTACCCCAGTGTCGCAAAGGCTCCCACCTACGGTGGGGTAAGGGGGTCGGATGTACGCCGTCTTACCCCTGTACTAAAAGCACAAAGAGACTGTTTCCGAATGACCCAAGTGAAAATCGCGTCAAAAATTGCATAGACTGACTGTTACTTCATACCAAAGAAGCGCACACAGTTTAGTGAGCCACTTTGCTTTATTCCATCATATTCCCAAGCCAAAAAATAGTGAGTCTTTGGCTCCATTGAAAATGATGGAAAAGGTGATTGGAAACTACCAAAAGTGAAAATCCAATCATGAACCCAAAGTAAGAAAAATGAAACTCAAGACCAAAAGCAGGAATGGCCTTATAGTTGTGGGATCAAGAGTGGAAAATTATCTAAATTAAATCTTCTTGTGTTCCTAAATCTTAATAGCATGCCAAGTCACCCTATAGACATACTAATCAGATCAACAACCTTATCCGTGATGTGCAACCTCCTCCCCTCTCACCTAGGGTAGAGCCCTAGGTTTAAAAAAACATCATCAGCACTGTTCCTATTGGGTATACCTGGGGACTATTTGCAGCTGCAGGATTGTCAGTGGTGGTTGGCACATCACCAGCATCAAGAGCTTCACGGTTTCCAAGACAGAAGAAGTTCAAATAATCTTGAGGAGAAAATGAATCTTCAAGTCCAACCTCCACTAAGGCCTTGTATATAGTCTCAAACATCATCTGCATTGTCTTATTCTGCAAAAAATCAAATGATAACTCAGTTTCCATAAAGTGAAGAATATTTTTTATATACTTTGCAGTGACAAGCCTATTACATACATAATCTGCAATTTCTTATTGTGCAAAATCAAATCATACCTGCCAGAAAAGAATCCTTTGGGTAGCAGCACCAGTTGGATTACCCTCTGGCCACATCGGGATGACAATATACACAGAAAATCTTTCGTGTGCTCTTATCTTATCCGCAATTTTAAGTGCAATTTCCATTGGAATTAAATTGTCAGCACCTTCAGAAATGAGAGAGCAAGATCTGGTGTCAGTGAGCTCTAAGAGATGGTTTTGTACCTCTTTTTATTGCTTATGAAAAAACTATATTTTCTACCAAACGCTAGCAGAATAAGCTTGAAGCAGTAGAACCGGCATTTGACTGCAATAACTCACCTCAAATAATACTACGTAATAAAATATTGTAATGCAGAAGTTACCTTTCGATGGAAATGAAGTAAATGACACTCCTACCATAGACCATAGTAGCATCATATTTTATACTAGTATAATATCTCATGCAACTAACTTTTATAATTATACTCTTTTAGATAACATCAGCAAATTCATTGATATAACAATAATTACCTCTACCGGCGTGCCATAAATATTTTTTTTTAACATTGCTATTGATGTAGAAGTGTAAGCAAAAGTATCTTACCAAGATTATTATACTGACTCCAGTTGTAAGAAGAGCCAATGAAGTATTGGTTTTCGATATAGATAAAATGTTGTGCAGAACGAATGGCCTTCACATATGCTGTGTGTATGCTCATATCAATAAGCACATTTTTTCCGCGCATCAGGTTCTGGAAAAAACATTTTTTACAAGAGTGTGAGGTGGTAAGAATTAACCAGTCATAAAAAAGGAATCCTTGTCTTTATCTCTCACACCTTCATTGTCGCTTCTTTAGAATCCTTACGAAAGCCTTTGACAGAATTAGAGTCTATTGAACGAAAGATCTGCATAAGTATGAAATATAACATGCAAAAGTAGGCCTTTCAACAATATAGTTTCGGCTCCGTTTGTTTAAAGGAAAATAAGTTTTCGAGGTAACCAATTTTCCTGAAAAAAAGTTGATATATGTATTGTATCATCATCATCATTTTCATTTACCCCAGTGCCGCAAAGGCTCCCACCTACGGTGGGGTAAAGGGGGGTCGGATGTACGCAGTCTTACCCCTGTACTAAAGCACAGAGAGACTGTTTCCGGATATATATGTATTGTATAAGGTGTGAATTGAAAAAAAAATAGAAAACACAAAATGTTTCACAAATAAATTAGGGGAAAATAATTTGAATATCCCAAACTTTGAAGGGGTGCGATATAAGTACCTGAAACTTGCACATGTAATATATATACCCCAAACTTTATATAAAAAGTTATGTTAGCACCACGATCATATGTTTTATTACAAATGTAACTTTATGGTGTTAAATACATAATTTAAAATATACAAAACATTTATGAGGATGCGATTAAAATTAAATTGTTCCGGATGTAATATAATTTATTTTACAAATGAAATTTTAGAATGTTAACTGCATTCTAACAAAGCTTACAGTATTTCAAATTATGTAATTATTCCAATAAATTTGTATTTGTAAAAAAATATACAATCATGGTACGAAAATAACTTTTTATATAAAGTTCGGGGTATATATATTACATATGCAAGTTGGGGGTACTTATTTCACACCCCATTATAGCTTGGGGTATTTAAATTATTTTCCCCAATATATTATAGCGCCAAACACATAATAATATTTTCTGGAATATACTTTCCAGTGTGTAAAATATTACTGGAAATCCGAGTTCATTTTCTAAAAAATACATTTAGGCAAAAAAACGGAGCCTTAGTCCAAACTCTGGGAAGTCCGAACTTACCTGAACATGCCAACCTTCCGGACTGTCACCACTCACACATGGGATATCAAATATACCCAAAATTTCAGGCATTCTTTCAATCCGGAGCAACGCATCATCATATGAAATCTTCAATTTTTTAATTCCGTGAGGCTTTGAAGCCTTCAACCAACGCTCTTCAAAATTTGTCAGAATATCATATGCTGCTGGACCATCGATTTTGCAGTGCAAATCATGCCATGGTTCTCTAGGACAACCAGCAACACTCCCCTGGTAAATAATGAGATAATGAGCACTACATGATTTCTTTTGAGCTAAATAGCAGCTCTTGATTAGAAAATCACAAAGATAGGAAACAATTCCCTGATCTTTCTTACCAAAAGCACTTTACAATGAGATATACTACCCCCAACCACCCCCCAAAAGTGAAATGTTTAGCTAATGTACAAATTTTTATTTTCAAAAGGTAAAAATGCAATAAGTCATTGAACATACTTTTATATACTTCCACATTCACGAAAACAGGGGAAAACAGCTTGAAAGTTGAAACACGGTGGTTTTGTCTAAAAAACAGTTTTCTAATGCAAAGTCAAATTTCATGTAATTCACCAAAAGTTACCAAAAACTGAGACATACCAAAATACATTTGATGAAGTTGGTTAAAGCAATAAATTAGTATAAGACTTGTTGTCCTTTCGTCAATGATGATTTTTTTGGAACAAGGCAGTATTTTTATTTTAGTTTAGGGAAAATCACATATATGGTCCCTCAGTTATCCACGAAATTAAAATCCCAGACCTATATTTCTGAGATTGTAAATGTCACCCCTCAATTGTCCAAAATGTTGTAAATGTGGTCCTTTTGAGGTGTGAAATATACAATGTGGGCGAGAGTACATTTCACCACTTAAATGACGACATTTACAACAATTTGGACAATTGAGGGGTGACATTTGCAATCTCAGAAATACAGGTCTGAGATTTTAATTTCGTGGATAACTGAGGGACCATATATGCGATTTTCCCTTTAGTTTATTAATCTGTTTAACTAAATATGTCATATTAAACTTGTCTATAGATTTTAGTTTTCGAAAATTGCATGATAAATTAGTCTAATTTGTTGAAACATAACTCTTTTTTATTTCTTTGTCTTTTATTTGGGGTGGGGATGGGGGTAGAGTGTTTGGAATTAAGGCTTACAACAAATGTGGGGTTATGGTAGTCGTCTGAGTGGAGAGTCTGGAGAGATCTATAAATGGGATGCTCAGGACTATCATATCGCCCATCACACAAGTCAAGTCCTCCAACAAATGCTACAATTCTTCTCTTGTTGTTTCCTGCCTCGGCATCAACTATCACAGTTTTCTGATGGTGTGTATAAATTACTCCAACTTCCTGACAATTAAGATATGTATCAGGCATTTTGAGGTAACATAATTCTTCTCCTAAGAAAAAAAATCTGGAATCTTCGTACGTGCAAACAAAGCCGGGATCCCAAGTTTTAAATGTGAGTTGCTAAAATAGCTAGAAAGAGAAAAAAGAGGTTATAAACTTATAACTATAGATAATTACCCTTTGTTTCAGCCAGCTATGACGCTTCCCAGCTGCACGGGGACAAAGAAGCACCTGCACCGAAGAGTGTTTAAAATAGCGGCGAGTTTCTTCATCATGGGTTGCCATGACTCCATCCTGAGTGTGGAAAAAATATGATTGTTAAGAATATTTTGATTGCTTTCTGCAGTATCACTTTTGCAGCAGGACAGGACTATGTCATCCGAAAACACCTATGATTTAGAAGGTTGCAAAATTAACTAAGCTTTTCGCATGAACTTATACTGTTGAATGCAACAACAACAACAACAACATCCAAGCCTTGGTCCCAAAAGATTTTGGGGTCGGCTAACATGAAAAGATATGTGATATCGCAATCAAAAGGAAAAGAAAGATAAGAAAGATAAAAAAGAATATAAAAAGAGATAGGATATACATAAAAATGATAGAATAAAAAAGATAAAAAGAATATATATACATATATATATAAAGATAAAAGGATGAAAAAACAAAAACAAAAGAAAGAAAAAGAAGATGAGGGGAAAAGATGATAATGAATTGACGGTAAATTTCAAGCCACGAACTCCAAAATGTTTTGGAAACACATGATGGTTATGATGATAAACAACAACATCAAAGCCTTGTTCCCAGGAGATTTTGGGATGGTTATGATGAAGTTATGTTAAATCCCCACCACCCACCCCCGCAAAAAAGTTCTTTCAGAAAGGTTGAATGCCAGTAAATCCTTATCAGTAGGTAGCTAATAATCTAACAATGCATATAAGAAATAATATTCCCTTATTCCAAAGGAAAATGCGATGTTTTCGAACAAAATTAATCTTTTCATGAAATTTCCAAAATAAAGGTTACAAGTTACAAAGTCACAATTAAGATAAGCATGATCAGTTTAGTAAAACAAATAAAAAATTAAAATATATGTAGGGTTCTGTGACTTTTAAAAGTTTTCTTTGAGGAAATTGAAAAGTTATACATCGACCAGATATGACTATTTTTTAAAACGGAGGAATTATAGTAGAAGCACTAACTTAGTCAAAACTCAAAATCATCATGTCAAGTAAAGAATGACACACATCAGAAGACTTTGGGACTTTGGGTTCTAATAAAGCAAAACTCAAGCACCCGTTGTAAAATACATCTTTAATTGCATCCTTTCAAGCTCTGTACTAATTGAATGGTCATCTCATAGGATCAAATCATCATCATTAACAGATGAAGATAAGATTTTGCTAACACAAATAAGATGTTTTACCGTTTTATAACCAAGAATGCTCCTTGACGTAGGGTCATCCCACACGAGAAGCAGAACCCTCACCCCTTCCTGTGACTTTGACTTCAGCAGCTCACCCAATGTGTACCCTTCCATGGAACGATCATCCCTTGCCAGTCTTACTTTGTGCCACACTGACCATCCTGTTATATACACCAACCTCCTTGCACTGCGTATCGCACTAAATATATCACGCCAGCATTTTCCGTGCACATACTGCCGCCCGAAATCGAGTCCCAAATTCGGTAGGAACCCATCGGGCACGTGTGCATCTTGGTAAAGAGTGACGTTTCCACCCTTCCTTAGCGGAAAATACGTCCCTGGAACCCCGTTATACTCAGGTCCCACTCCAACCCCACAATGGTAAATGTTCAATCGCTCCATGGGTGTGTATTGGATGGAGAGACTTAAGACGGCTCCCGCCTTGCAGGGTTTCCCATTGCTGGTAAGGATTGGAAAAGACCCTTCGACTTTCCCCCCACCATATATATGTTCCACTGGGATTGCCACAGTTCCTATAAGCTGAGAACCAACCACATCACTGTCCTTCACAATAAAGTGCACTTCAGAAGTGTGATGTGCAACCGGGACATTAAAATGTTGCTTCCAAACGGGGCTTTCACTGTTGCTTATCACGGAAGTCCGCCCAATGGTTGCGCCTGCCACAGAAATTGTGACATAGGGATCACTTGTAATCTTCTGACTCATATGTCCTTCTATCTTTGTGTTCACATTACCAGGCAATTTGTTAAACACGTCTCCTATTGTTTTGTGAAACATGTCCATGTTTGGGAGATTTTTTGCTTCGTGGACAAAAATATCCAGATTCCCATGTAGTAAAAAAACCTTCAAAGATCCTTTAGAAGGTGTGACTGGAACAATTTGGAGACTCTGATTATTTGAACTCATTTCCAAAAATGAGTCTGAGTGTGAAGGGCAGTGATGAGGAGTTGACTCATCTTGTATAGAAGATGCCTCGCAGCCAGAAAAGGAGGAATTAGGATGCCCATATATTGGCCCCGAGTGGTACATTGGATGAGGATTAGGTCCTAAAGGACGAGTCTCTGACATTTGCATGTTTGCTAGCAGATCTTCCACGGGTGGGTAACCCGAAGGGTTAACAGGTTGATCAAAGTGTGTCACACTACTAATACTCGACAATGAACTAATATTGATTCTTGATGGGTGACTGTCTAATGGACGTGGAGGAATTGATCGAGGATAGTGGTGAGATGAATCATAACCGAAACTGCCATGATGTTGAAGGGTAGGTTGAGGGGAAGAAGTTGGAGGAGGAAGTTGAGGCATATAGCCATGGTGGGGATATGGTTGTGATGGTGGTGGGGCATACCCATATTCTACAGGACCAGATTGGTGGTATCCACTAGTAGAAGGAGCTGAAGGAGGGTAGTTAAGATGTCCAGAATGTGAAGAGGTGTAAGGGTGTGGATACTGGGGATAGAGAGGAGGGTATGTGTATGGGGGTGTATATGCCCCGGAACTGGGAGGAGGAGGGTAAGGTTGATTTGGAGGAGGAAGGTGGGGTTGATTTGGAGGAGGAGGGTAAGGTTGATTTGGAGGAGGGTAAGATTGAGTATGCCCATATGAGTTATTATTACCATTAGGGTAGGGAGACTGAGAGTTGTAGTTTTCCATTACAATATATACATTCAAATCCAACTAATTCTTCATGCTCATAACAAATCTAGCAAATGAATCCAGGTTCCCACAAATGATGGGCTTCATATTGCAATGAGTACCTTTTCAACAGTTGTTATTCCCTGCATAAAATTACATCTCCTTTTAGCCACTGGCCAGGTTTCAAGAAATGTTAATCTTATACGCAGTATATCTTATCCCAGGGTTCCATTTCTCCACACAGGTACACAACAATAATATTCAAGTGCGAGAGAAAAAAATGGATATCTGCTTAAGGTATACCGGTCGTAATCTAAATTACTTCACTAAAAAGGGAATCGTTAATTCAAAAAGTGTTGAAACCAGCGAATCTGAGACAAAGAGAAAGTTATATAGAGAAAAAGAGAGCCGATAAAGCTGCAGCAGTGTACCTCGTTTAGCAGCTGATTCAGAAGGAAACTCCCTCCGTCCGAAAAGAGAGAGGCGGGAGCACCGTCCGACCTTCCCTGATCCCGAAGGGTTGGTGATCCCGAAGCCAGTGAAATGATTAAAAATCTAACGAATAAAATCGATCGACTCTTACTGCTGAATAATTACATCAAGATTGCATCTTCACACGGAACACTTTAACATACAAAGCATCGACTGGGGGCTTTCAAGTTCTTCAATCAAACTTGAAATGCAATGGAATAAGAAGCCTTTTGCAGCCAGCGGGAAATAATTGCACGAGTAATACAGATTGTACCTTTAGAATGTTGAGTACGTTTTTTAAAGCAGGATAACTCGAATACGAGTTTTCTTAAAACTCCCGGAATAGGATGAAGATTTTAGGTTGAGGCAAACCTTGATGATGAGCTTCAGATGAAGAAAATGGGTCAACGGTCTACCAGCACATGAACACTTCACACAGGTCAATGTGTACATACGGCACACACGCAATATAACGAAGCTTTGAATATTATTAATTTGAAACTAATTTCTAAAAAAGTGACCATTTTTTACAAAAGGACAAAAAAAGTTACTAAAAGGTTATATATTTGGAAAAACTCAATGTTACTGTCATTTTTTATTTCACTGTCGGATTTTTATGTCACTACCAAGCTTTTAAATGTCAATAACGATTTTCATTTCACTTTCAGATGTCACTATGCTGGAAAATGTGTCACTGTGTCACCGGAAAAATATTTCGGCGACTTTTCTCTATCAAATTTTTCACCGGAAACCATCACTCATCACCCGCCTCGACACCGCCACCGCCACGTTAAACCACCTACGGCCCCTCACCCAGCTCCAGTCCTCTCCCCTATACCCCTGCACCCCCAGCCCCCTCCCCTGCACCTCCATCAACCTCCCCAGCCCCCCTACACCTCCATCCCCCTCCCCTGCTCCTCCAACCCCCTCCCCAGCCCCCAGCCCTCCCCTGCACCTCCATCAACCTCCTCAATCCCCCCTGCACCTCCATCCCCCTCCCCAGCTCCCCCATCCCCCTCACATGCTCCCTCAGCCCCCTTTCCAGCCAGCCCCACCCTGCCCCCTACGGCCCCAACCTCACCACAGTGACATTAGTGACAGCGCCGCCAAGAACCTTCGTCAAAATCCCCTACCACCAAGTTCCCCTCCGCGGCTCCCGGTGCCGCTCCGCGCAGCGCCACCCAACAACCTGTCACAACCGGATTCGCTCCTTGCAAAAAAAGACTATGGATCTGAAATCAATCACGGATCTGAAATCAATCACAAATGTGAAGCTATTGAACAGAGACAGAGAAGAGAAACAGCGAAGAAGGTGAAGATGAAGCTTCAGCCGGAGTAGCAGACCGTCATCATCGTTTTTTTGTCAACGTCGTACGAGTGGTCTTCGTCGATCTTCTTCGCACCGGTGGCCTCCTTTTCTTCGATGGCATCGCGATGGTGGTGGAGACTCTGATTTCTGACCCTTTTCCTAACCTATCTATCTATTGATCTCGCTTGTTCATGGTCGAAGGTGAGAAGCAGGGACGGTGAAGAGGAGAGAAGAAAACAGAGAGCTGGTTGGTGTTCGTTCGCGTAAGAAGAGTGACGAGAAAGAAGATAAGCTAGGTAACGGAAGAGTTAAATGGTTACATTTTTGTCCTAATCAAATCTACTCATATTTGTGTCCACACGAACTACGGGAGTCATACTAGCGTCATTCTTTCATTTTTTATATAAGATAAAATACACAGAGACGTTTACCATACCAGAGCATACCCGTTCACATCAGACCAGATCAAAATAGATCAGCAAATTTCTGTCCAAAAGAAAACACCCATAGTCATATTTTGAGTGAGTTATACTCCATCCGTCTCTTAAAATGTGTCAAGTTTTTGCCAAAAAAAAATGCAAGTTCGATCAGCACAATGACTAATATAGTAAAAATTGTATAATTAGAGATTTATGCAGAGGGAAAACAATTAACTGGAATCATAAATTCTTTACTTAAAAATGAAAGTGTCAAAATTAGTGGGTTAAACAAAAAAATGTTGAAAATATCTAGGGAATGAAAGAAGTAATTGCTTAGCGAATTAATTCAGTATTATATATTTTCAAAATAATCACTGTAACGATATACTCCCTCCGTCCCTAATAACTTTGCCAAGTTTGACCGGCGCGGGGAATAATAAAGTAGAAAATGTGTGGTTGAGATTTATGCAGAGAAGAGAGAATGAACGGGAACCACAAACTCTTAACTTAAAAGGGAAAGTGACAAAGTTAGTGGGACATCCAAAAAAGGAAAGTTGGCAAAGTTATAAGGGACGGAGGGAGTATCATTATACCCAAAAGTTTTTTTATAGGTCTACACAAAGTTCAGTTCAATAATTAATTTAAATTTATAAATGTGACTATAAACACATCACCAGAAGGATAAGTGATTTTATATTGATGTTGTTTGAATTACTTTTACTTTCTTCATTGGAGATCAATATTGTTTTATTTGTATTTATATTGTTTAGGTTATGTTTAGGAGGATGTGTTGTTTTTAGTATGTGATAAACGAAAATATTAAAAGATAATTATACTAGAAATAATTTTGTTCAGAATTGAATAGGGCTCCAATAGGTTCTTATCAGTACTTTGTAAATTTGTATCACTGTTTTTAGCACATCACTAGTAATATCGATTTTGTATATTTCATTTGGCGTATAATAATTTTTCATATATTAAGATTCCAATGTGACATAAAATATTACTAATATCATACATTTATCATACCAACTTTTCAATGTGGTAATAGAATATATTTTATATTTTGAAAGTTTCGATACACAAAGATAAGACTCGTGATATAAAAAAATGTATCATATTCAAACACTTCTATTCGTGCTCAGTCTGTAGATACACTCACAGATGCATCAATACATTTCATATCAAATAGAGTAGGCGATTTTAGTTGGTTAAGTCTTGACATTCTATTATATTATATCAAGAATGCAGAGTATAAAATTAACTTTTATTTTATGCTTTATATTTAATATTTTGAATTTATCGCAAAATATCAATATTTTATATTAATATAGTTTTAAAAATGTTTATATTTTAATTTTTATATATTTAACCTTTCTATTTTATTTTAACTTTATCACAATGTCAATACTTTCTTATACATGAGAGGATGAATTTGAACAACTCGAATGAGTTGGGCGACTTATTTGACCCATTAATTATTTACATGTCAAATGCATGGTTGATATCTTATTGGACGACATGGTTGATACTCAAGTATTTACTTGTGAAATATGAATTTGAAATATCTTGAGAGTTCGTGGGGCAATTTTTTTTTTTTATTTAGGGAGCAAATTGAACAATGGAAAAGGAAACAATATATATTGACTCTTTAGTCTTTGTTAGATGAATGCACCTCTTCTTGGACTAAATACAATTAATGAAAAAAAGATAGAATTTGAAATGGGCAAAGATAATATCCTAACAAATGAAAGTAATCCTATATATTTACTTCGATGAATAATTTGTATAATATTTTTGTAGATTTTGAAAGGAGTGAAATTTATATACTCAATTTATAAGATAAATATGTACAATCATCTCCATTGTGACACATTACATAAAGCAATATGTGATCCAAGTCTCATTTATCATGTAAGGAGAAGTTGGGTCAATAATTTTTTCAAAGTAGGGATAAAAATAATGTGAAATCTATATAGGATATTACGTGTCTTGCACAAAATTGTGCTTAGAAATAGGAAGCACCATTTGTACTGCATCAATTAGACCCTTTACAAATGTTTGAAGTTCAATACCATGTTGGTTTTGTTAAAATGTGAAAACTGGACATTAAGAATAACAAAATACCTTTTGCATATCATGTATGAGTGTCATCTTGGACCCGGCCATCACCTAGATGAAGTTCTTGAGCAAGACAAGATAGAAGTCATTTTTAGTTGTCTTTATTTTCCTCACTAACCAGTGCCCAAGCTATAAGGTACATCTGACTATTATCATCCTTACCTATTGTTGCCATAAGTTGACCTTTAGTTAATCCTTTAAGGAAGCAACCATCTTAATCTATAACTGGTTCACAACCATGCATCCATCGTTTCTTCAACGCGTCAAAATAAATAAACATTCTCTTGAAAATCCTTTTTCCTTCACTCAAATCTTGTTTACACAACTCAATTTCTATAATACTTCCTGGATTGCTTTGCTCTAATGTAGTTGCATAAGCTCCCAAGTATCCAAATTTCGCCTTAAAACTTCCATCCAACTCTTCTCTTGTCATTTTTTCGCTCCTTTACACTTAGCTAAACTAACATTAATTTTGTAAAGTTATTTACACTCTTTCACCATATCTTTTGTCTTATAATTAGAATTAAGATATATATTTTGTTTAAATTTCTTTGTTATGAAATTAGTTGAAGCACTTGGAAGTGTGCAGTGTCTCCAACGTTTTTTGCCAACCCTTGATTTCTTCCATCTCTAGAAAGAATATGTGTTAAGGGCATTCAAAAATGTCATGCATAACTGCCAATAGTTATCTCCCTCTTCACGTGTGACTTTTCCAAGAGGTGTATCACAATCAACATACTCACAATTTTCATCATCACTTGAATCGCTATCACTGTCAACCACATCTTCATTCTCTTCTTCATCGTCAGTGACATAACCTCTTGGTCTAGTATAGATATCTTCTACTTCTCTAGCGCCTAAGTCTAAAATGTTATCAATTTCTTCCCACTCTGTGGAAATAGGGTCCCCCCTTCACCATCAACATAGAGTTACAATTAATAGTTACAATAGTATTTGACTCTGTCATAAAAAACAAAAATATGACAAAAAATCAAGGGAAAACTGTCAAATAAGTCCTCGAACTTTCATAAAAAAGTCAATTAAGTCCTTCTATAGTAAACTATGTCTGGTCGTCGCAATTTGGGGCGGTTCTCGATGGAATTTTTTGATGATTTTTTTTGAGCATCTTATTCATCAAGTCTAGTTTACTCATACAGAATTTCATATAAAAATTTAATCGGGAGCGTATTCAAATTAATTCGAGAACGAAAAAATGCGCAGTTATCTTCAAGAATTAATTTGAATGTGTTCACGATTGAATTTTTAGCTGAAATTTGGTACGAGTAAACTCGACTCGGTGAATAAGATGTTCAAAAATTTTCATCAAAAAAATCCACAGGAAGCTGCCCCAAATCGCGACGGCCGGACAGAACCTCCTTTAGAAGGACTTAATTGACTTTTTTATGAAAGTTCGAGGACCTATTTGACAGTTTTCCCAAAAATCAATTCACATAAAACCAACATGAAATATAGCTCCTCCATAGTCAAAGTTACTATGAATACACAAAATTAGAGACACACAGAAAGTATGTAAAATAGTCCACAAAGAAAATTATTCCAAGAAAATAGGGATGAGATAGTGAACGAAACAATCACAAGCTATTACACAGAACACCCGTTTTGTCAATGAAAATTTAATTTGACACAAAAGTGTAAATTTTTTATTTTAACATACAAAAATCAGGTAATCTCGTGCTACATACCTCTAGAAACGGAAGAGGAGCGAAGACATCCATCTTCATCTTGAATGAGTTTGCGTCTGTACAATGAAGATAGAAGAGCGAAGAAAATAATTGATAAAGATAGAGAAATCCATGAGAAGTCTCATACAAGTGATTAAAGATGGTAGGTTAAAGTTAGGTTGCGGAAAAGCCTTAAAATAATATAAATGTATTGTTGAGTTTAATCCAATATGAAACAGTAAATATAGATATAAATATTGTATGAACACTTTGCTTTACGTGGAAACCCGAAAGGGTGAAAACCATGAGGTTTTTTCGACTAATGTCCAAGGCTTCTCGTTCTCATTAATACTCTCCTCATCATTTACATAGTACAAGTCTTCAAACTAGCTAATGAAGTTGGGGGGGGGGGGGGGGGGGGGGGGGGAAGAAGAAGAGAAGGGATGCAAATGGGGCAATGGGCTAAAGGGCCTAAACGGGGCCTAACTGATCAGGCTTTGTACTGAGATACTGTCTTGAGTCTTGAACAGTAGTAGGTCGGGATAATATACCTCAACATGTATATATGTTCTCACACTAATAGTATAAGGGTATATATGTCCCTTTTCCCTTTAGGGAAACTTCATAGCAAGATTATATAAATAGAGATGACCCCCTTTCATTATCCAAGTGATTCAATAATTAATTTACATTTTTACAACTCTGTCTTCTACTACTCTATCAATGGGGTTGATTCTTTTCTTCCAAAACCTATCAATATATCACAACCCTATGCTGATTTTTTTGGATAACTTCTTAATATCTTCTGATTTATCATCTTGTTTAGATTTGAATTACTTAAATACTATTTAAGATTTATTGTAATTGATTGGTAACTAATTCATCACCGTGCACATTTAGATTATTTTAATATATAATTTATTGTAATTTATATATTTTAGTAGATTTTTATATAATTTTATTTGAAGGTACTCCATATTATCTTGAGCCCTATACTTATCATGTCTAACTTCAATGATCATACTCATGTTCATATCATATCTATGCTTGCCCCTCCCCAAGAAATTCATGTGTCCCCCGCTACAAGCAAAGTTAGCAGTGACTTGCATAAGGCTACATAAATAACATAATTTTATGTTTAAAGGTTGCTCTAGTGAATGTATTATCAAGTCAAACTAGATGATAAAGTATCTCAAATCATATTTATTACAAGAAGCTGAGGTAAATTGACACTCTCTAGACTCATGATCGATAAACAATGCAAAATGCAAATCAATAGAAAATAACAGGGAAAAGTACGGAAAATGTACTTGTGGTTGAGCCTGTTTTTAGATAGGGTCATGTGTTTCATTTTTTATCAAAGTGGTTCATGTGTTTAAATTCTGTTATCACAAGAGGAACACGCCATTAAAAACGTCTAAAAAGATCGTTAAAAGTAACCCCGATTTTCAAAAGTGCACGAAAAAATAAAAAAAAAATACTGGCAGGTGCGCCTCAATAAGCCAACCGCTAGGCCATCTTTCTTTTTTGTTTTCAGTCACCCTTGTCATCGGAAAATTTATCGAAAAAATGATATTAACGAAATCATTTTTAAAAAATCATTCAAACAGATCTGAAAAATCCAAAGGCGAAGGTGATTTTGAGGTCATTTTGACGAGGCGCACCTTTCGGTATTTTTCTTTTAATTTTTCGGGCACTTTTGAAAATCAGAGTTACTTTTAACGGTTTTTTCAGACGTTTTTAACGGCGTGACCCTCTTGTGATAACGGAATTCAAACACATGAACTACTTTGATAAAAAATGAAACACATGATCCTATCTGAAAACGACCTCAACCACAGGCACCTTTTCCGTACTTTTCCCAAAATAATATAGCTCAACAAAAGTAGTCTAACATCATAAATGAAGATAATATGCATTGAAACTTCTCATCTTGTTACTTTGATAAACTTTGTAGATCAGTTACTCCCTCCGTCCCATAAAATAAGTCTTACTTTCCTTTTTACGTCGTCCCAAAAAATTGTTCTCATTTCCCTTTTTGGAAAGTTTTGTGTGGCTAACATTCATTTACTTTTTTCTTACTCAATCACGACCATACATTTCCACTTTATTCCCACTTTCTTAAACTCCGATCCAAATTGAAACGGGACTTATTTTATGGGACGGAGGTAGTATAATTTTAATTTATTCATGCTTTTTATTAATGATTTTATTCGAATATTTTAAGTTTTTATATTTTGATGAAGAAACTATGTCACAGTTTATATGTTGGCCTGTTGGGTAGGACATCACAGTGTTTGAGGGCAGTTTATTTATTTATTTTTTGATCATTTGAGGGCAGTTTATTTATTTATTTTTTGATCATTTGAGGGCAGTTAATTGAGAGCTAGTAAAACCTTTTTTTGAAAGGAAGCTAGTAAAACCTTTTTTTGAAAGGAAGCTAGTAAAACCTATTGAAACTGTCTAAGATTTTATAGAATTCTATATCATATAATTCTATTAATTTTAATAGATTTGAATAGATTTTAACAAAATGTTGAAAGTTAACGTATAAACACAAAATTAAATTCCTAAAAACTAGAAATTGAAAAAATAGAACCTATAAACGAAGTACGATATTAAATAATTACAAAACCTTGCTAAACAATAAAATGAATATTTTCAATCTATGTGCTCCTCATCGATAAAATATTCTCCATATATTATTATTCTTTGAACGAAACTCCATATTTGTTGAGAAATGCTACTTAAAAAATAGTCAAAGTGTGTCACTGCACCATAGATAGTACAAGTATGTAACTACTACGTACTTCCCCGTCCCGGAAAATTCTTTCCGGTTTGACTTGGATCAGAGTTTAAGAAAGTGAGAATAAAATGGAAATGTATGGTTTTGGTTGAATAAGAAAATGTTAAACTAATGGTAGCCACACAAACCTTTCCAAAACAGGAAATGAGAAGAATTTTTTGGGACATCCCAAAAAGGTAAGTGAGAAGAATTTTTGGGACGGATGTAGTATTTGTTAAGACTAATTAAAAACACATCATTTCATAATATGTGTGTGTTTTTTAAATTAGAATCAAAATCATTTTTTAAAAGTTGATCTCCACCCTTTATAAAAAAACTAAAAAGACTAGGTAGAATTTCTGGATGTGAATTAGAGGACTAGAAATATTATCCACCTATATACTCCGTACCAATTTAGATACTCCCTCCGTTCCTATTAAAACTTCCCACTTTCTTTTTTCGTCCGTTCCAATTAAAACTTCTACTTTCCCTTTTTAGTAAAGAATTTGTGATTGACAACATTTCTTACACATTTCTCTCTCCTCTGAACTCTCCACCACACAATAGCACTATCTTAAATTTTGTGTCAAACCTATTTGGAAGATAAAATAGGAACCGAGGGAGTATATGTGAATATGTGATTCAGATTTTCAAAAGAATCAATAACCACAATAACCGGCCACTCTGCAACCAACAGACAAAAAACGTAAAACAAGGGGATATCTTTTGTGATCGCTTGCTCGATTTCTCGCTTCTCGGATTGGTTCTTTCCCCGGTCCCTTGCTAGGGCACAATGGAGTGTGAAACAATGCGAAGGAATGATTTCACTTGAAGAATTTCAGCTTCGATTTCTTCTGTAGATAAAGTTGACATTATATTCGAGTTTATCGATGGCATCTTGGAAGGGATTTTCAAGCGCAGCCAGCAACCAGAGGAACAGGGGCAGTGGATCTAGTTTTCCCGTTATGGCTCTCGTTTTCTGCTCTTGCATCTGTTCTTTTATATTCTTATTAGGCCGCGGCCTCTGCGCATCTGCTGCAATTGGTTAGTATCTACTGCTGATCCATATAGACTTGACACATTCAGTTGTTCCATGTTAGAATCATATTGGTGATGTCAATCACATTGAAATGGCTGGTTGACTTGGTTCTTGGAAGTAGAGAGTGCAATAAAGGGAATTATTCATTTGTGTGCTTTGTTGGAGGTGCATTGGATTAGACAGGTCTTAGGTTAGAGGTCAGAAAGAACTATAGTCAATAGCATTGGTGTAATAGACGGGTGCAATTTCTTATTTTTTGTCGATCAAATAGATATCTGAGCAGTAATCTTGCCGCCTTTTGGGGATGAAACATTTCCCTGTAGAGATAAAAACGCTTTGTTTATACTAACTCAATGTATACTTAATATTATGTGGGTTGCTTTGTTTTGCCTTGTGGACTGATCTTGTAACCAACACATATATGTTAACTCTTTATATTACTTTGCAGATAAAAATCATTTTTCATCTACTCCTGATCACATGGTATCCTTCTTCACTCTATCCATATGACCTTATCCTAAGATTACTAACGATGGTTTAATAGTAAAACAATGTTGCAATATAGGAACTCGATTGGAGAGAGAGGCTAGCATTGCAACATATTAAACCCGTATTGACAAGAGAGGCATGCTCGGATTTCTTCATGTTTGTTCTTTGAGCTATTCTATGCATTGTCATATTGTGATCCTCATTTGTAAAATGTCTTACTTTTATCTATCCAGGCACTTTCTATAATCCAGACCAGTATACATGATTTAGGGCCACTAAGTGTTGATTCTCTCAGAAAAAACAATTTATCAGCTTCATGGAAGTTTTTTGGGCAAGCAGGCTCTGCCAAGAATACAAGCACTTCTCCAGAGGGCAGGATGATAGTAAGGCTTAAGATTGAATACCTAGATGGCTAGATCTAATACACTGGTGAATAAAGTCAATGAAATGTCATGTAACTTGAAGCCTACTAATTAAATTTTATGTTTGGGTGTGTGATTATCAGTCAACCAGAAAAACTTCTTTTATGATGCAAGAAACCTCAAGAAGGAAGGACAAGTCTCTACATGGTAGTTTCTTGGTTTTCTGTCTAATCAAATCAGAGATATTTAATCCAAAAATACACACATATATTATATATTATACATATATGAAGCAATTGTATAACACATATAGTTTCATTACTGTGCAGAATTTCATTCTCAATCTATGGATACACCTGAAAAATTGGCCCGTAGAGTAAGTATGACTGTACTATTTTTTGAAAACTACGCTCATGTGTTTTTCTCTGGGGGGGGGGGGGGGGTTATTGCGCTTCATTTGAAGATTAAAATAGGCATACAGAAATGAGATTTATATGTACACTCTTTTGTGCTCATACATTTGTTCAGCCATGCAGGATTTTGCATCTTTTCCTTTTCTGATTCCTTTTACCACACATGATTTAGTATGTATCTGTTATATGACTGCAGCAATTGAGACAGAAAAGACGTGAAAAACGTGCTGCGGATTTGGTGAAACAGGATGATGAAGTTACTATAAAGCTTGAAAATGCAGCCATTGAACGCACAAAGTCTGTTGACTCAGCAGTTTTGGGGAAGTACAGTATATGGAGGAGAGAAAATGACAATGATAATACTGATTCAACAGTACGCTTGATGCGAGATCAAGTGATCATGGCTAGGGTGTATTTAAGCATTGCAGGGATGAAGAAGAGGGCTGATTTGGCAGCAGAGTTACTGCAACGGATTAAAGAAAGCCAGCGTGCTCTGGGAGAAGCAAGTTCTGATTCTGATCTTCCTCGCAGGTAATATGATGCTTGTTAGTAGGAATATTCATTGGTCCAAGACTGAGAAAAAAACTTGGGCCAAATGCAAGGCCGAAGTGCCGAACCAAAAATACACGGGGCTCGACTGGACTAGAAAAACCAAACCAACAGATTGGACCGAAATTGCATAAAAGCACATTATAAATTTAAGGAAGACACCTGTATTTAAGTAATTTTTATTTCAATATTATCAAGTCATTGGTGATATTAAATATTAAAACTAAGCTCAACACTAAATTTTAGTAATCAATGATTTTTTGCTAAGATGCACATTAGTTTCATTTAAATACAAGATTTTTCAAAAACAAAACAATAGTTACCGTGTTTCCGGTCCCATCACCCAGACCAAAAATTTCCAATCGTGGACGGACTGAATACCAAAGCTCAAAAATTCTGGACGGAGGATAGATTGAGATCTACTAGGTGCAGCCTCGGTCCAATCGAAATGGTCCGGGTTCCATTTCCTAGCACGGACCAAAATATGAACACCACTACTTGTTGGTGTTCTACATTCATACTATTTACATATTGCCTGGCGCTTATGATACTATGATAGTATGATGCCATGTATCTTCTACTCAACAGTGCACATGACAAAATTAAGGCTATGGGCCAAATACTATCCAAATCAAGAGAACAACTCTATGACTGTAAGCTGGTTACTGGAAAGCTAAGAGCAATGTTGCAAACTGCGGATGAGGAAGTTAGGAGTTTGAAGAGACAGAGCACATTTTTAAGCCAATTAGCTGCCAAGACAATTCCAAATGGGATCCATTGCTTATCGATGCGCCTAACAATAGATTATTACCTTCTACATCCAGAAAAAAGAAAATTTCCGAGTTCGGAAAATTTTGAAAATCCACATCTTTACCATTATGCGCTGTTTTCTGACAATGTCTTGGCTGCTTCCGTTGTTGTCAATTCCACTGTCATGAATGCTAAGGTAATGTATTTCTTTTCCCCCCTTTCATATATTTACTTGCTCATGCATCTTCATTTCCGTTCCAATGTTTTGTTCTTTCTTTTTAGTTTTTATCAAGGTTCTAGAACTCGCCAAGGCTAGTCGGGCAGCTGAGAGGTGCCTAGCGCCTAGGCCGATTTTTTTGGCCGACTAGTCCCCTGCAATTATCCAATGCCTAGTGCCTAGGCACCGATTAATCGGACTGACTAGGCCGATTTATAGAACAGTGTTTTTTTATATCACATAAGAGTCACTTGAGTGAAGAATTGAATCCTTTTCGAAGACCAATATTTTTTGTCTAACTTGAATACCTGTATCCACGTATGGAAGTATTTAGGTCAAATAAGTGTGCAAGTATTTAGACGTTATTACTCTGCTACATTATTTTTGTCAGTTCATATGTTATAAAATATTGATCTGCAAAAATTATCTGTTGTTTACATTGGTGCTGTGATCAATGATTTTTTTAATGATAGGAAGCAATTCGAGACTCTTAAAGCCCGTTTGGGTAAGGCCTAAAATGTCTGAATGGATATTTGATAAAATAATGGGTGAAAATGCTGAATCATTCAAAATAAATTATTAAATTAATTTGAAGAAACTAACATCAGAAGCTGAGATAGAAAACTTGTTTTCTTTAATTTCAGTCATTACTAACCAATTCAATCATTCCAAAGAATTGAGTTAGTGCTAAGGTGAAAAAGGTATACCGCACAGGCACTTAGTTACTACTCCCTCCGTCCCTTATAAGTTTGTCAACTTTCCTTTTTTGGATGTCCCATTAACTTTGCCACTTTCTCTTTTAAGTAAAGAATTTGTGGTTTCGGTTAGTTCTCTCTCTTCTGCACAAACCTCAACCACACAGTTTTTACTTTATTAATCCCCGTGCCGATCAAACTTGGTAAAGTTATTAGGGACGGAGGGAGTATTATTTTAATATTTTTAATAACTGGAAATTCTTCTCGGGGTGTTTTGCAGGAGCCAGAGAAACATGTGTTTCATCTTGTTACAGATAAGCTGAACTTTGGAGCTATGAACATGTGGTTCTTGTTGAACCCTCCTGGGAAAGCTACCATACACGTGGAGAATGTTGATGAGTTTAAGTGGCTTAACTCTTCCTATTGCGTCGTTCTCCGACAGCTAGAGTCTGCGGCAATGAAGGAGTATTATTTCAAGTCTGCTCATCCCACCACCCTATCCGCTGGTTCCTCCAATTTGAAGTACAGAAACCCAAAGTATCTATCAATGCTTAATCACCTTCGGTTTTATCTTCCCGAGGTTTACCCCAAGTTGGATAAAATCCTCTTTCTAGATGATGACATTGTTGTTCAGAAGGACTTGACCAGGTTGTGGTCGGTTAATCTTCATGGGAAAGTGAATGGTGCAGTTGAAACTTGTGGGCAAAGCTTTCACCGTTTTGATAAGTACTTGAATTTCTCAAACCCTCACATTGCCAGAAATTTTGACCCCAATGCTTGTGGGTGGGCTTATGGGATGAACATGTTTGATCTCAAGGAGTGGAAGAAGAAGGATATCACTGGAATTTACCACAAATGGCAAAATATGGTAACACTTCTGTTCGTTTTCACTTCATCTTCCTTTTCATTCTTTATTTTCATGAAATTTTGCAGAACTATTTTTTATGTGAAATGCCGAGTGAGGAGAAGATATTGGGTTAATTTGTAAGAAAAAAAGATGTGGGGGAAAATAACAGACTTGTTCAAATTCAATAATTTTTGCTTTGGATTTTGGTTTAAATCATCTTATTTGTCTAGTCCTGTTAATTAATGACTAGCGCCCATTTGTTAGAAGTTATTTGGCTGAAATGATGAATAAATATGGCTGAATCTGCTGGATTTCTGATATGAAGCAGAATCTGGGCTTGGAAGAAGAGGGGCAGAAGCCACTGTGGGTTTACTGAAGGCGGGAACGGGCTTGAGCCCACCTTTGTGGGCTGGTTGCGAGCTGCTTAATTAATATTTATTATTTTTAATTTTCCTGATTTGTTGTTTCCTATTTGCAGTTAATTAGGATTTCTATTATTTGTTTCCTATTAGGAGTTAATTAGGATTTCTATTATTTGTTTCCTATATGAAGTTGATTAGGATCTCTATTATTTTGTTTCCTAGTTGGAGTTGATTAGGATTTCTAGGATTTTGTTTCCTAGTTTGAGAATTAGTAGATGGGTATTTGAACCCCTTGTTAGGATTCATTCAGCCTCATTTTGGAATAAAGTTGGATTTTAGCCTTTTGGCTCTGGGCAACGGTTTTTATCGTTGATTATCTGGGCAACGGTTTACCTCGTTGATTTTTATTTTTCGGTTCACAACAATTGGTCCGACCTGCCGGATCTTGTCCCGCCAGGATGATGAGATCTCAGATCGACCGCTGGATAGAGATGGTTGCCAGGCAAACTGGATGAATTAAACCCTAGAGGAGCACGGCATGCGTCTGGCAGAGATTGCCGCATCTCTGACAGTGCTTACCAAGGCGCTAATTCCTCCAGTCACGACGGAAACAAACCTGGACGTGGTTGGCAGCCTCACCGTATCTGCGCACAGCAGCGACAAACAACCGTGCAGCGTCACTTCCTCCTTGGCTGCGTTTACAGAGGCTCTCGCGCCGCCAGCGGTGGAGGAGCATTCAACGGCGGTGGCTTCACTTGACGCGGCAGCATCATCCTCGTTCGGAATTGAACTGTGCAGCACCTTTCACATGATGTTGCCCTCGTTTAACGGAGAAGAACTGATCAGCTAGGTTGATAGGGCTGAGCAACAGTTCGAATTAGGGATGCCAAAAAAACCCAGCCCACAATGACCTGCCCTGACCCAAGACATTTGGGCCGGGTCCGACCCGCCCCATCTTGCAAATGGGGCGGGTCCGGGTATTATTGTTGACCCTTGCCGCCCCGACCTGCCCTAACCCGACCCGCTCAATATACAAGTATACATACTTTTTCTTAAATTATACTACAAATATACTTCAACATACATATGTGTATGTACAATAAATCACAAATTCTTTGATCTTATAATATATTAATATATATATGTATATATGTGTGTGTGTGTGTATATATAGTAAGGATCAAATGAGAATACTTCTTAACGTGAGAAATGAGAATGATCTGGAGCTTTGGATTTTGGCATTGTGGATCAAGTAAAACAGAAATGTGCATATAAAAAATTGGAAAATCCGCATTTCAAGTGTGCAAAAAATTACACATAAACGTGCACATTAGAATATTGCATTACTTTAACTATAAATGTTCATTTTCGTGAATAATAAAGTGCATCGTTTTGGAGCGTTCTCATTTCTCACGTTATGAAGTGTTCTCACCGGAACCGCACCCTATATATATATATATATATATATATCAGAATGAGATGAATGACGGATTATCAATGTCTTCTTTATGTATAGCATTTTAGTACATATATTCGATTATTAATATAATTAAATAGATTAACTATTCAAGTCTAAGTAATTTTTTTTTTGAAATTTTTAGTGTATCGTGAATTTGATTTAATATATTAATTTTTAATACTACGTAATTATTTAGAGATAAACTTTATGTAGATTCAATTGGTAACTTCCCACAAATAAAAATACATACTAGCTAATTAGGTTACGGCAGGGCGGGACGGACCCACCCCGCATGGGGCGGGGCGGACCCACCCCGCATGGGGCGGGTCATGGGTCAACAAGTTTGGACCCGTCCGGGTTACGGGGCGGGGCGGGGCGGACCCGTCCCGCCAAGTCACGGGGCAGGTCCGGGTCTTACAGTACCCGCCCCGCTCCGATCCATTGCCATGCCTAGTTCGAATTGAACTGTACTCCGCCAGGACAGAAGGTGGCAACAGTTGTAGTTGCGATGGAAGGGTCAGTCTTATATTGGTTGACCTGGTTACGTGCACCAAAGCTGGGCATGTCATGGGATGAGCTTACACAGGCATTGGTGGCTCGTTTTGACTCACGGTTTAAGGGCAATTGCTTTAAACGGATCCCCGGAGGCAAGCAGACAGGGACTAGGGACATCTCAATTTTTCCTAAAGATACTGGACAACCCCCGGGGACAAATGTGAGCCGATTTACGGATTTCAACCTTGAGGACAAGTTTTTTTTGAAGGGGGATGGAATTGATATGAAGCAGAATCTGGACTTGGAAGAAGAGGAGCAGAAGCCCCCGTGGGTTTACTGAAGGCATGAACGGGCTTGAGCCCACCTTTGTGGGCTGGTTGCGGGCTGCTTAATTAATATTTATTATTTTTAATTTTCATGATTTGTTTCCTATTTGGAGTTAATTAGGATTTCTATTATTTGTTTCCTATTAGGAGTTAATTAGGATTTCTATTATTTGTTTCCTATATGAAGTTGATTAGGATCTCTATTATTTTGTTTCCTAGTTGGAGTTGATTAGGATTTCTAAGATTTTGTTTCCTAGTTTGAGAATTAGTAGATGGGTATTTGAACCCCTTGTTAGGATTCATTCGGGCTCATCTTGGAATAAAGTTGGATTTTAGCCTTTTGGCTCTGGGCAACGGTTTTTATCGTTGATTATCTGGGCAACGGTTTACCCCGTTGATTTTTATTTTTCGGTTCACAACAATATGGCTGAAATGATGAATAAAATATGGCTGAATCTGCTGGATTTCCTGAATGAAAAACATTTGTTATAATAAATTTCAGCCAAATAAGAAAGTCAAGGGCTACGTATTATGCTTATGAGTACATGAGCAGATTAAGACGAATAATACACGAGAACTATGAAATCTAAATATATGAAGAAACATTTGACAAGTTAATCAAATTTCATTCTTTCCCTTATCTGTTGTGAGACCGCATACTAAAATAACTTTCCATAACATTATATTTCTCCCTTTGCCTTGCATCTTCTGGGATCCAAACATGTCCTAAATGCATTTGTACATTCATCTTTGCGCAGAATGAAGATAGAGCTCTTTGGAAGCTTGGGACTTTGCCTCCCGGGCTGATAACTTTCTATGGGCTCACACATCCGCTTGAGAAGTCATGGCATGTCCTTGGGCTGGGTTATAACCCCAGCATTGACCGGGCAGAGATTGAGAACGCCGCAGTCATACACTATAATGGGAATATGAAACCTTGGCTAGAGTTGGCAATGGCAAAGTACAAGCCTTTTTGGAGCAAGTATATAAAGTTTGATCATCCTTATATTCAGAGCTGTAAAGTAAGTGAATAATAATAAAGTTGAAATTCTTTCTGGTCCCACAAATTAACTGTGCCACCATTGGCTTGGGTTTATTTTTGGATGTCTGGAATGGTTAGAGGTAATGTATTCTTTGAACAGCTTAACTCTGTATTTTTTGCTAAAATTTGGGTCTCCTGGGGTGGGGTTGATGTACGTATGACTTAATCATCACATCTTTTTGTAATAGAAAAAAGAGTGACCGTGCGAATTGATAAATCTTTCTCAAGAACAAATGTCCAATGTTGATCCACTCGTTTTTTACTTGAATATTGATTAAGTAGTTTTTAACTTTTGGTCTTATTGAATTATTGATTACTTCTTTTAAAAAGGCCCTTTTAATCACTAATGACTACTTTTTGTACATTGTTGATTGATTTTTCCTCATTTAAGTGATATTCCGTAGTTCAGAAGGAACAAAAAGTGGAATATTTTTATTCAGAATTGATTAATGGTTAGAAGACATCCAGCTAACTATTCTTGCTGATGAATGAAAAGTTTTCCTTATGGTCCATTTGGTGTTTTTGCTGGATGCAAATATGGAATGAATGTAGGTTATGTAGCCATTAGCCAACCTTGCCGACTTGCTGTAGAAGTAGGGGTAGGAAAGTATGTTTCCAGTTCCCACAACATATAAACTTTAACCTGAATTGGTAACACCAGCCGGCAGCCGGTCCAGGCCAAGTCCTGATTCCGTTATAATCTGATGGTTACTCATCTGTTTGAACTTTCTTGGCTTAAACGTAATACTTCTGTTATAGGACTCTGTGAAAAATTGAGCTAAAAGATTAAGAACTTTGGTTGAACTCTTAGTAGGATTCGAGAGGGCTCATACCAAATGCGGTACATTTTATTATGTACTTCGTAGTAGGGATGGACTGGGACAGGTCGGCCTGACCCAGCCCTGGCCCGGCCCCAACATAGTGCAGGCCTGGCCCGGCCCGCTACTTTTTAGACCCGGTCGTGGCTCTGGGCCCGACCCGGTAGCTATAAGGGCGGGCTTCAGGCTCGTTTTGGGGCCCGAATGCACTTTTTTTTTTAATTTATTGCCTAGTCCCGTCCCGAAACCCGGCCGAACCTAGTACTATTTAGGCCCGGTCTCGGTAAAAACCTAGGCCGGTACTAGGCCTGAATTTCTTGAGCCCGAGCCCGTCCAGGCCCGGACCGGATCCCGGTCAATCCCTACTTCGTAGTAGCTAACTTTGTCATAAGAAAATTATGAAACTTGTAAAAGTTAAAATAACATGCATTAAACATGTACTTTTATGTTCTGGTTTTTTTATAGTCTCAAGGTGAAAAGTAACCATGAATACAAAGCTCTTTAATAAATATAAAAAATTGTTTGGTTTAGTTTATGGTTATTCTGGTTAAAATTAACACAAAATTAACCCAAATCAAACCATCTAGCTCCGCAAATTATTATCAAAACAGTTTACCTAATTAAAAAAAGCAAAGTACCAATTTTTGGAGTAATCAAATCGGACTTTATTTTCATATCCTGGAATCTTACCATTTTCTTATGGACTTACGGAGTAATTAAAATCGATTTATGGAGTAATAAAACTGTTAAACACAACTACATAAGTACATACACGACTGATTTGGTTTGGCCCGGTTCGGAATCGGAATCGGCACTGTTTAGGACGGGACCGGGTCTAGAATTTCTGATTTTGGGCCTTGTCCGCCCAAAATCGGTCCCAGTTCACCTGGGCGTTTTCGGTCCAGACCGACTTCTTTAAGCCTTTTAAAGAGGCAAAATCAAAAAGATAAATAGAATGGTACTGGAATCCCAGTTACCTGGAATGGACCCAAACTTGAATATAACCAAGTCGATCCGGGCTCATCTGCCAGTCATGGACCGGAATCACGATTCGTTGATAAATAAATAATCTATGTTTATTTTTGTTGTGGGCACTTTCTTTTTTAAATGGCGCTAGTGTTTTCTATTTTATTTGTTTGCTCTTTTTTAGTTTGTTTTGCTTTGGATCTTTTGATGGTCTAAAATACTGGTATATGGATTGATAATTTGATAACCATTATTTGCAGTTTATTAGTCTTGTAATCTATTTTTTTTATTGGGCAGCAATTTTAAATTACAAATGATGAATTATGCAATAATTAAATAATTAAGGTTGGAATTACTTTTCTGATTCAATTAACCGAATTTTCTGCACAAGATCATTTCAGCTATATTTTCATACTCTGCATATTTTTTCTAAATATTATGAATAAAATATATTTAAAATACACTAACTTAGCAGATTCAGCTAGTTATCCACTTGAGTCAGAATTTCATCAATTTCGATAGATTAAGATGATTTTTTCAATTTCATTTTTATCAAACGGACTTTGATACTTCTATGGTATTTCTATTTTTCAATCTAACATATGTCAAGGAAGATGTGGATTTGTGGAACTACCCCATATTGAAATTGAGAATTGAAGTTTTAATTTAGAAATTCTAAATTTGATGTTTATTTTTCAAGTTTAATAAAAAAAAATCTGGCATCAAAATTGATACCAATATATGTATTAGTATATTCTTTAAATTAGAGTACAAGCATACGTACTGACCAATAACAATATCTGTAATAGCAAACATTCACTAATTAAATTATACTCCGTGCATAATTATATATTTTCATCTAATGCAACCTAAAAGGCTGAACTTCAGCACTATGAGTATATATAGAATTTAAATAGAAGAGGAGTGTATTTTGACTATAACATTGTTTTAGTTTTTATTCACGCCCATTTATATATCAAAGTTCAATTGAATAGACGTGTATTCTGAGAATCTGAGTACAACTTCCCTTGTGATTTGTGAATAGGCTATTCATACACAATTTTTGTGCCTGTTCACCCACGACGTGGAGGAGACATGTAGAAATACTCATGTTTTCTTTGATTGTACATTTGTACCTACTTGTCACTTGAAGGTTTTCAATGATATTTACTGCACCACTGGGGTCTTTCAAGTATCTTAATTGCAAGTCTTTCTATAGGGTGGGGGATTTGGCTCCACGCCTCCACCCTAGCCAGCGCCTAGCAACATGGTCACAGTCCGCTAGTATACAATAATTGCTAGATGGTAATTAATGTAATGGTTAGATAAGAACGTATTACCGTAAATAATTTAACGGTAATTAATTTTGAATATCAAATATTTGCTTACAAAATCCACATGTCAATGTAACATTTTTGTGCAATATTTCAAGTAGTCTAAAAGTTCAATATTGCATGAATGTAGGAATGACACGGTTCCATACTTTGATGTTCCAACATTGCATATCACCACTTTAGCACCATTCAACAGTCTACCGCCAGCAAAAAATCTATACAAAAAAGGTAGTCTGATAGCTTCACAATCACCAGGGTCGACCTTTCCGTGTCATGCGTCTTGCGAGTTGAAAATCGCTCTTCACTGAGCAATAAAGATAAGAAAAATGATTGTGTTAGGGCAATCATTTCATGTTTGTTTACAATATAACTATAATGGTTGAACTTGATACCAAACACTTTCTTATATCTACATCGAGTGTGGAGAAACGAAGCCCATATTTCCATGGAAATGAAAATCTGAGTTTTACATATTATTAGAACTTCATAAGTTAGGTTATAAAAAAATGCAATGAGCTCATGGAGTGGGAAGTGATCTTACTAAGAGTGACGCGCTTGCTATGAATAGCACACAGCTGCGCATCTCCTAAGAGTTCCACCAAATACAACTCAGCCGCCTGCAAAATCAACGCCCAGCAAACAAATAAGAAGGGGCACACACTTGATGAAGTATAGGAGGATTAACGAGGGGTGGGAAAAGAGCCAAAGTAGCGTGGGGTGCCATTTGCAAACCCAAAAATGAAGGGGGCATAAGGCATGAAATATACATGCCAAAAAGGACTCCCTATGGATCAAACAGTTCCATGGGGTCTACTTGAAAAATGTTACCATTTTCCCAATGGGAGGGCTTCTTCGCTGCTCAAACAACTGGACAAATTCAAGGATTCACTTCTAGACCACTTTTGTAGCCAGGAGGCTTTGATAGCAAGGCTGTGATTTTTATGATTTCTTATGGCTTGCAGGTTTGACTAAAGCCTGTATGAGTTTTATCTGGAAGAGTTACACCCCCACCCCTAGGTTCTCCTTTACTTTATGGCTGTGCATTAGGAATGAATCACGTACTGCAGGAAATTTTTGGTTTTGGATGGAGATCGATCCTTCAGCTTTGAAAAGTGCAATGAAATGTTTTAAGAAGTATTTCAGAGGAACAAGTATAGGGAGTCCAACAGTGAGACTACCATTGAGCTGCACTGTCTATACTATCTGGAAAAAGAGACATTCTGAACTTTTTGGAGGTTATAGAGACAATGTTGATTAGTTTGTTTAAATATTTGTGTTGTGGTTGAGCCATGTACCTTACTGAGAGGCAGTAGAGTGCAATATTTTTATTATACTCGGGGCATACCTCTGTGATCATGATAACTTCCTAGTGTGTGTGTAGGTGTATATATAGTTTTATAGGTTATTAAAAAAATGAAATAGAGAAAGAATTAAGTTTCACTTCATATCTGTTGAATGTAGTGGATCCAGTTGTTTGATGCACATAACAGGTAATCACAAATAATAACAAAAACACCTGTACATAGTACTGTCATACCTCCTGCAGTGCATTAAGAGCATCTGCTTGCCAGCGTTTCATATCCGGTGAAAAGAAGATGCTTAACTTCCTAGTCTGCCATAATTAAGAAGAAATTGAACTTCATTTTAAGGAAATGAAAAATACCATAGTGAGAAAACAGTCACAAATCAGTACAAAAGTCATAGAGCATTGCCTTTTGTTGATTGATAGTGTCATGCAAATACTCAAGAACTCCGAATTTAGCATTCTCAAAGTGTTGTAAATCTTGCTATTGCATCACATGTGCACAGATGCAGTTTTTTAATAGGCTAACATACTAAAATACAAAATAAATAATTCATTTGACGTGGTTTCACAGCATTCGAGCTTTCAAATTAAATATATACGACTGCACACAACCAGCTCAGGTTCTAATTGAGAAACACAATAGAATCACATTAACAGTACAGTATGCCATAGTTTCATATGATGTTTTGGTCTAACTTAGATTTGAAGTAAATGAATGATTGTGGATGTGAGCCATTTAGTAATATAAACGGCCCACATAATTTCACCCAAAATTTGATTTGATCCATTAGAACAAGTCATGAATTAATTTACAAAACACATCAAGATAATGCATGAGCCATTAACTATTTAATTAA